TCGCTTAAAGTTCAAAGAGATAAAAAAATCGCGAAATTTTACATATAGTAAATATCAAAATATTATTTCTAATAAATGCGCTAAAATAACTTACAGCTTCTAATCGATATTCAAGAAATTAATATCCATTTCGTAATAAACTCGATTATTCTAATACGTGGTTGGGTCATATCATAATATTGTATATAATAGTTATAACGTAAATGACGTTACCCTAAATTTTATAAAAGTTATTCTATTGCACTACAAAAATATTTTTTCTCATCACGGTTTCAACCATTTTTTATTACGATAACCAATCCGCTATAAGAGCTATACATTTTTAAAAAAGGGAGAGGTAATGTTGGTCATGGCAGTAAACAATATTGCTCTAGTTGGTTAAAACCCTTAGAAACTACTGAGTTTAATTTTGAAAAATTATACTGCCCCCTCCTTTAAGTCTTGAATTTCGAAAAAATCCCTTTTTAGCTAGTTTTTATATCATAAAATCAAATAACTGTCCAAATAGTTTCAATGGTTTCGACAATGATAAATCAGTCATTCGGCGGACAAGCTATTATTTTTTATAAACAAAAAGACTATAATATTTTTAATATTATAAGCACAATCGAAGATCGGTTTTTTAGTGCGACAAACGCATATACTTTCCAAATACTTACGCGATATTGTCATCGGTCATCATGCAACCAGCACTGGATTAGGTAGAGGTACCTATAGTGCAACAGAAAGGTCGAAAATGTATTTAAAGTGAAAGTCGCGTTTGTAATAATATTACTTTCGATCGTATCTAGTCTGAATTTTCGACGGATCAACGTGCACCCTAAGGGCTTAAGGCAATATAGGATTACCATTAAAAAAATGACAAACGGTCATCGAGGAGAGAGGATTATACCTGTCCTACGAATTTTCAACTTCTGGCGCATAGTTCTCAATAAGCACATGTGACGCCACCATCAACAATTTACATGCAACTTGTTGTAAGCCGTAAACAATTGATTTAAATTGTTTTTTTTTTCCATACTATCTCTGCCGTAACATAATATCATAATACAATCCGTAGACGTTATGTACCTACGATAGAACCTATACAATGATCTAAATTATAGAGCATATAGGTAGGTACGCGTCTCTTAAACTGCACCCAAATGACCTTTTTTTATCCAGCTACGTAACTATCGTTGTCTATAGACAAATGTGATTGTAAATTGCATCGCCCGAAACGAAGAAATGACGTAGTTAGTAGATTTCTTAGTCAATAATTAGATACCTGCAGAAATATTATTATGATTTTAGCCAGTACCTGAATAAAATTGAAAATTATAAAACAAATTTTCAATAAAAACACTGACAGATTATAAAAAATATAAGATATAAATATTAACCGAAGACTGACACTGATAAGTGTACCACTGTTTTATATGAAAACATTAAAAGGAGAATAAATTAAGTAATTTAAACTATATTTATATGCAACGATAAACAATTTCTAACAAAAAACGATTCTGAGAAAAATATTATTAGTCGTATCTTTTCTCTTGTTGCCGAGGTAATCCAAAATCAACAAATATAATACAAATAATATCCAGTCTTCTCAATTATTAAAAAAACTTCGTTGGGAAATTAAAAAAATTAACTGTAAAAATATACTAACTAAAAACTGCAAAAACTGTACAAAAAAATTAAAGAATTTTTGATTAAAGCAAGATATCTGGTAAAATTGTCATTTGTTGACAAAATAAAAACATACGTAGTAAAACCTAGATTACAGAATATAAAATTGTGAAAGACACCAATCAATTTATTATGGTCTTCAAGTGATTTTACTGCCAACTATAGTTGTTTAAAATATTAGCAGAAAATTAAAAACATTCTTTAAAAAGCAAACATAAGTCGTTTATAAAAAAATTAAAAAACATAATAGAAAGTGAAACTTAAGTCAATAATAATTACGTTTGTTTAAAAAATATATCTTATAATAACTGCAGGCGATTGTTTTAACATCAGTGCCTGTATACTGAGAAGTTATATATTATTTTTGCAACGATGCGTGCTTTTTATGTTCTAAAAGACCCAATTTATTAGGAAAAAGAATAATAATCAACAAATTTATCGATACGTATAATACTGCTTACCTACCTAAATACAGTTTTTCGATTTTCCCAAAATGCGTTCAAAAATGCTGAAAATCAATGTACTTTAACATATTAACAAAAATTAATTGAAGCCCTTTTTTTCCTTGAGCCCAAAGATATTATAGTTGGATTGTTTGGAGTCGTTTTTTTTTAAACTCGCATAGTGTAGTGTCGTCATTGTTTTCAATATAAGCCTTCTCGCTTAAGGCATCTAACCTTACCTAATCTAACCTTCAACACATTTACTTACTACCGATATAAAAATATTATATTATTTTATTTGAAAGTAAAACCGCGTGAATTAAATATAAGTCGTTTCGTATTTTGTCTGCTAATGTAAACGAAAATGAGTTAAGTCGGTATCACATTTATAGGTATATCAATTGCATCACCTATTTATAAAAGTTTACAGTGAAATTTAAATTGAATATATATTTTAAAACATTATACTTGTACAAGTCACAGGAAATTAAATACAATTACAATATTACCTACTTGTCTAAAAAAAAATTTAAAAAAAAAATATAGGGCCGTAATTACACCATTAGTTGGTGTACAACTGAACGGTAGTTATGAAGGTATAATACGCTAAAATATGACATAGTATTATATAGTATAATGTAATCTATAGTTTATACTGTATGCAACGAAGTATTATTACTTAAGAGAAAAAACGAGTAGAGCAATAATTTACATTAATCGTGTTTTCTCCTATTTTTCAAAGTAACACAGATATCAATATTAATAATAAAAAACAAAAACCTAGGAAGTGAATTTCTGACAATTTCGAAAAATAATTAAAATGAAGCACCGTTAAACAAAAAATTCGTATATTTTGAGACATGGAATGAATAAATCGGAGCTTTTTTATGAACCTAATACATTTTTGTTGAAGGGAAAAAACACACATCTATGTACAACTAATTTAACTTTGAAAACTTCTCTTCTTTTATCATCTGTACTTTGGTAATCTCTAATTACTGATATAGAGATAGTTCTGACGAGATCAATTGATTATTCGTTTTTTTTTTCGATCTGTCCATAGCTACTCGAAAATCCCTGTATGCTGCTGAAACGAGTTGATACGAGTTTGCCACTATTACCATCGGTATAAAACGCATTACGTTAAAAACTGTCGTATGTATATACATAGTCGTAATACTATTTACCTATAAACTGTTATCTAATAACAAGTTGTAATAATATTGTCTTACACACTGGTTTTCGGTTTGGCGCATTCATATACCCATAATAATATGTAATAGGTGATACCGCTCCGACCAATAAATCATGTTCAAGATGTAACATTATAGGTATACGGGTATGGTATAGGTAACTACTCGTACATTAGGTATATCAACGATGAGAATTGAATTAAATAACATTCTAAATCGTGACTTATGCGTTTAAAAAAAAAAAAAAAAAACAAAGAAGTCGCGCTTAAGGTCTATGGTTACGCGCGACATTATTTATTTATTATTATTTTTTTTTAATCCATACATAATATACGGCAAATCCATGACAGCGACAATGCTATACATTAATTGGAAGGAAGTAATAATACTATAACGAATAAACGAACGAGAAGTTCCTCGCACACGTACCTGTATGTAGATAATTATCATTCGTCATATATTACAAATTATGCATGATAATACTTTTATCATGAACAGACCGCCTAAATTAACCTAACTTACCCAGTCATCCGGTAAACACACACACACACACACATGACATGACATTAGAAAAGCCCAACGTGGCGATTTCCGATCGCAACGGGTGGAACGGACGTCGCACTACCGCACTCCGTATTCATTTTCCCTGCACGAAACAAGCCACAAACGTGAATTAAATCCTCCTATTGGCTCTTTGATTGTTATTGCTATTCGCGTACCTACACTAATAGGTACATCAAACAAGAATATTATTTCGAGCAAACCACCATAGTAATATAATATTTATTTTCCTTGGCTTTAGAACGCTAATTTATTTACAACATCATCATTGAATCTATACTTTTATGATGAGCTAACGCTTTCAACTATTCAATCATTTCTAACAGTAAAATTGTTCTTTGAACATTTATCACGGTTTAATATCATAATAAATGTATAAATTATTGTTTTTTATAAATAACAAGATAACAAAAAGTAATCGTTTAATATTCGTCGAAACAATTAATTCTTATCGGAGTTGTAGCTTAAGCTTAAGCAAGACTGGTTTCGGTGGCGAGAGGCAATGTATCATTAGGACACGAAATTGTCGCACAATTTTTCTAAGTTCTGAATTATGGTATAACTTCTAGTGATCAAATATTACCATATTTATATTTTCTTTATTTAAAAATAAATAAATAAAATAGAACACTTGATTTTATAGATGTTGTTAACAAAATACATATTAGTTGTTATTACTGCCCAAGCAATGTACTCCGGAAAGGTGTGATTGGCGTCATCAATTTCTGTCACATAATGGTGACAGTCTTTAGAAGTTTCCTTTCCTATCCGGTACAGATAATACTTGAAACAACCGTGTCCGGATACGATCTGTGTAAGATAAAATCCAATTTTCCCGTGCTGACGGGTGCACCAAGGCTTGATATTCCGGATTATGGAAATGGTCCATTCACCCGTGGAAACCGTGTGCAACTCTCTTTCCACCTGCGCATTGTCGCCTCACGCAAACTGGATGGCGGATATAACCCTAACAACGCTGTGGCCCTTCGTCTTCGATCGAACGCTGCCTCCATTTCGCTGACAGCAGATCAGCTGGTACCGCTGGTATTTCTGACACCGTGCGATACACACAAATGCTTCGTAATAATAATATTTTTTTTTTTTTTTTTTTTTTTTTTTACGAAAAACGGTCATGGTGATAACGGCGAGCGTCACTCCTTTGGAAGAAAACGGTTACGCTCAGCGAAAAAACAAACTGAGACGTAACATAATGATACGTGTGTAATTTCCAAGAGTACACTATTATTATTAATATTTAGCGAAACCCAGGTCAAGAGAATCTGTTGGGATTACTTCTCGGTCGGTTCTCGGTGGTTTGCTAGAGAGACCGGGGGAACTATTTTACCCCCCGGTCTTGCTAGATTTCACAGGCCTCTTCGTGGCGCTAGATATTAGTAGAAGCTGTAACATGCATAAATTGTGGCTGGTCGGGCTAGTGTTGGCACTTCCCCACCGAGGTCGTATCCGGCGAGAGATCGAGACCACGGGCTCGCCCCGGTGTCGGCCGCAAACTCGAGCGGTGGCCGGTGCTGTGCGGTCGGGCTTGTGGTTTCGATCGGTACGCGGTTAAACGAGCCAGGGGTAACTCACCCGACGGCGGCTGAACCGTGGGCAAGCGGTTATGCAAATTGGGACAGCACTTTGATGCATTGATACGCATCCGGTGCTTACCCTGAACCCCCGCGGCTCGTAACTAGCACGGTTTAAAAAAATTGGACTCGCCTATCATTATTACTACCTATATTGTATTATAATGTAAGAATATAATGTGAACTATGTGAACCCGGAGGCGGGGCGGTATTTAGAGGGGGGGAGAGGAAGAAACAGTTGCGGTTAATTGTGATGCGGCGGCTAATGTTTTTAACAAATCATAAAAAAAAAAAAAAACGTATTATATTGTTTAATCCCATCTCATTCGGTTTCGCCGTCTCGCTTTTCCAAAGAACGACCCCCCCCCTCTGGACCGCGATCACACGGCAAACGCCCGTGATCTGCTCCGGAACCGTTTTTCCCCGTGTACGGCGTTCAAAACGTCTTGTACGACTACGCGTAGGTAATTGGGCGTACTTGCGATAAGTCATAACAACAGTGCACTTTATCATTAAAATAATAATATTACTGTTATTTACGGACGTTGTCGTCGTTCGCGTAATAATAATAATAATAATAATAACGCTGCGGTGACGATAAATCACGAGCGCGGGACGACAAACGCGGTCTCTCATCGGTTGCGCAATTTACCGGTTCGCGGCGGCGCGGCGGTGGCGGCGGCTACGTGAACGTGTTCGCCCGGAGAACGGAGAGACCGGACGTGCCGGAGCGTTCGGTCGTCGCGGCGGAGTGGAGCGGGTGGACCGGGCGGAGGCCCGTCAGCGGCGAGTCATCGTTGTCGCAGTCGGGGACGATGGCCATCGATCACGCGCGGGTCACGCGGGTCCCCGCGGGCCGCACGAAAATCCGTCGACAACCGCACCGGAGCGTAATAACCAATAATAATAATAATAATATTAAATTATTATTGTTATTATTATTATTATTATTATTATTATGACCGCGAATGACAAAACTCGATATTTATAATTTTTTTTTTTCGTCTAATATTCTCGAAATGGTGTCGTGGTGTTGTTTGAAAAAAACAAAAAATGTTCAATTATGTGTTCAATATTCGGACGGACGCGGTTTTTTTTTTTTTTTAGTGTCTTATATGATAATACAATAATAGCCCCTGTTCTTTTATTTGGCCGATCCGAGCACTGATTTTATCGTGGTTCGAAGATCGGATGGGTTTCGTTTTAAACAAGAAAATAATATGTATACATGTTCAGGTTTTTCGGATGTATTAACTATATTCTATAATATGGGTACCGTAATATTTTTGGTTTTTCTGACTGAAAAATATAGAAATTGGAGTTTAAAAAAATTAAGCAGTCTATATGTTATAAATAATAGACGTGAAAAAAAAATGGTCAAAGGCGAGATTTAACTCCCTGATCCCACGTCTTAAATACGCTATTGCCATAAGTTCATAAACGACTATTGTCCATGATACAAAGTTTAAATATGTGTGGAAAATTAACAAACAAGATCTGAAGTTCTAAATGGAGCCAAGCGGTTAAACGGTTCATTTTTCTGGTTTTACCCTAAATTTGATTTAGCGAATAATTTTTACCACTTACACGATGTTTTTTTTTCGTGAATTTTATTCTACGTGTAGTTTCGTCAAAATTTAAACTTCATACGATCATAAAAAAAACATTACAACTATTAACTTAAATGTATATTAGTAAATTTTTTTTTTATCAGCAATGATGATAATGCTATCAAATTTTCAAAAATGTATACATAACCAAAACTGTAATAAACATCGATCATTTCACGTAAATTTTCTTTTTTAAAAAAAAGACAAGTTAATTCGTTTTTACTGATTTATAACGAAAAACCAATACAAATTGAGTGATTGTGTTAAAGTTAGATGGTATTGAGTAAACATTGTGGTTTTTTATGGTTTTTAGTTTTTCAACCTATATTATTAGAAAAAAATATACCCAAGGAATATTGAAAAAGAAGATTGAGAAAAACGTCGCATTGAATGAAGCGAGTATTCTGGTAGAAAACTTAATCAAGCCAACAGTCTTTGTACAAAATCTAAAATGGCATCATTGGATACAGTGGCGGCTCGTGGGTAAAACAATTGGCGGTGCATATTCAAAAATTAGTATGCAATAAGTGCAGTCAGTTCAGAAAACAGGAACTAAAACAAATGATTTATTCACATTCGAATGTAATATATTGCATTTGTTTTATATGGGAGGTTCTTGGACAGAAATCTACAATACACCAGGAAATTATGTTTTATTCCGTTATATATCACGCAATATTGTTTAGGAATTTATTACGTGAACCGGGTCGGTTGATATTTTCTACGGTGTATTTTTGGAGACAACGCCGCCTCGTCGGACAAATTTGACGTGATTCAAAAGAAATGAATAATAATCGATTCCAAATGCATGATACTCTCGTCGGCGACAGGTGGCTGTACGGGCCGCAACGTGCGACGACGGTGCAATATTCGTTTGTGTCCAAACGAACAAACCACAATGTATAATGGTAATTGTGTCAGTTATTGGCGATGAAACGATCAAATGCGCATGCGCATTGTTTTTTTTTTTTTCTGGGCGGCGGTCGGTATAGTTATGGCTGACAATGTGCACATTCAATAGGTATAAACCGTGATTTCAGATAGTCGTTTTTACTGCGGTATTAGGGATGGACGATTAAAGGGTTCAGCACAGAGGACTTTCCGTACACTGTTGTCGGAGTTCGTTTTTTTAAGAAACGTACAAGCAGTGGCGGATAAAAACCACGGTGGATCCGAAAAAAAAAAAAACGACATGGTGTTTTTTGCGATGTCTTTGTGCGATGTCTTGCACCACTATAAATACCTAGATACAACCTGGGTATAATACTTTCGAACCGCCTCTGGTCGTGACCGCGAGTGCATGCACACATTATACACGCGGACGTGTTTTCGGACGTTTTGAAAAAACGACGACCCGTCCCGACCCGACCCGTCAATACGACACCACCACCACCGGCGCCGGTGTTTTCGGACGATTTTTGCTCGATCGTTTCATCCGCCGCCGCCGCCGGTCTCGATATACGTATTATAATAATGATACAATATAATAATATGTGCGCCATACGTGACAGAACGTGTTTTTTTTTTTTTTTTTTTGTCGTTCATTGTAAGGACGTCTAAAGAAGATCGAATTTTAGACAATTTTAAAATTTTGGAATTTCTTTTACGAATTTTAACGGAACCAAATCATTAAACCATTGAACAAATCATTATCAGTAATAGCGGTTGTAGGTATGCAATAATGCACTACGTGTATACAAAAACTGAATACGTACTTGAATAGACTCATGTATTAATTATAATAAATAATTTTAGATCAACTGACAATCATTTATTATACGTCAATTGCACTCATCTATAAAACAAGTTAATTAACTGAAACGATCAATACGCTATTGATGTGCATTTAAAATTTAGGCAGCTGGGTCCGCTCATTCCGGATATACTGTTGATGTGCATAACCTGATATCGAAAAACTTGAACAACTCATTTATTTATACGACGACACGTTTTAGATTATGTTTTTGTTCGATTTTTTTTATTAAATATTCTGTCAAACATAATACCTACGTCATATTTTAACGGTAGCAATACAAAACGAATTACGATATTCCAGAATTTATAAAACATACGACAGTACCTATAGAGTTAATTTTAAATTAACACGGGCGTCCACGGGCGAATGCTGACTATTGTATAAAATAAAATATTAATTTATACCATACTGTAATCCGAAAAATTGTCATACACTCGTACACGGTGTAGTGAAATATTAAAAATACGATTCATTGACGAAGCGCAACAATTGAGCATGCACCGGGTGGTCAATACCATATTTTCTAGTGAAGCGACGCAATTGCATGGGTACCCTATCAGAAAAAGTATCGATAAAATCATCATAAATAGCAGATAGAAGCAAAACTAAAAAAGAAGGAGGGGGAGTTGTCATATTATATTATTATTGTTTTAAAATAAGTTATAACTCTGCGTAGTATTAATGGTAGAATAATATTTGTCGTATTAACCTATTTACGTTTTTATCTTAAACGTTCCCGGAGAATCCACCATAAATCGGCGAAAATTCGTCGACTCGTCAATTCCCTACTATTGACTAAAATGTATGCGTATACATTATGTAACTTTTTTTTAAATAATATCTATTAATCATCAACCACTAAATATTGCTGCAATCAATTTGTCAGTCCGTGAACACTATGTATACGCGCATTTTATTGCAAATGTTTATATACATTACGCTAAAGTAATATACCTATATGCATCATCTACACACTAATCCAATGATGTTATCTAAAATATGATGGTGATAATTATATATTTCGTGAATCGCCAATAAAATGCTTTAAAAAAAAAATAAATAATATATGGAATTATTTTGTAGATAGATATCTAACAAATTATATAAACGGTGTGATTATTATCACATTCATCATATTGAAAAAAAAAATAATAATAATTTAAAAATATTTTAAAACCTGATTGCGTAAAAGCAGACAAAAAAAAACTTCGGAAATAAGATAACAGCCAAACGCGTGGCAAATAATATACAACGAAGTTTAAAGTTAAATAAAATATAAATAAACTTAAATAGCCATAAAATGACATATACTTTAGTAATAAATATGATATTGGCGCGCTGATAAAATGATGGGTATTAATTATAAAACCTGTAACAAGTAGATAACTGAAAAACATAATAAACCGTACGTTATAACTAACGGTAATTTAGAATGTTTAGTATTGAAGTTTTGGCCAACATGTATAATAGTGTGGCCCATTGCGGTGCAGTTAAACTACATTTACACGGAATTGCCATCTGTATGTATATTTGGCATCGGAAGTTTGATCTGCAGTGATATGAACATGTAACAAGCGAAAAAATTACGTTAAACAAAATTATAAGTTAACCCAACGGCGAGCATTGGTCAATTTTAAAATAACGTACAAAGGAATAAGCACATGATATTAAAAAGTGCAGGTGGTGCAATAACATCTTTGTTCTTGGACCACAGCCTAATACGTTAGTGACATTATAGTTTTATAAATTGAAATTTAATCAAATAATTTATAATAATTCGTGTGCTCGCAACGGTTCAATTACACATTAAGTATATTATTATCGTAATACTCGGAATAGTATACATTTAGCGCGAACACTAACTCTAAATGTAAATTTAAAATACTAAAATACGATCAACTATATATTATTACATAATAAAATAATTTTAATTTCCTTGTAGGGCCACGTCTTGTCCACTTAAAAGTTTCATTGAAACACATTTCTCATACATTTCACATACAATAATATTATAATAATATTCATATAAATTATGAACCCATGCCATAATTTTTTTTCGCGTAGAATTCAAGTAGCGATTTGTTCTTTACGTTTATCAGTTTACTGATATATTCGTTACTTAGTTCAAAACCGCATTTACGTTTAACATACAAATTACAATATTCGTTTGTTTTATTATAATACCTCTAATATATTATTTAACTATGTTCGTATAATTTTTCTTTGTGTACCTATAGTAAATATGTTAATACACTTTATTAGCTATGTATTACCCAATACATTAACATAGTAAGTTTATAGATAAATGTTTAATATCAAAAAAAAAATGTTCGATACCAAATTTTTAATATAAACACGTGAAAATGAGCGGCCAACCGGAGTTATTTGTTTCACTACCACCAACACACCCCCTTTCCAAGCAAAACCACGAATAATTCCTAACAATTGTATTTAGTTTCCGTATACAGTGTTTCGTTCCGTGATTCCATTCCATTACAAATTTTTGATAAATTACCTACTGATTTACAAATCAAAATAAATCGTTTAAATGTTTTAAATGAACATATCTATATATAATACCATGTTAATCTGGGAGAATTTTTAACACGAAAATTATTGTAGAAACGTAAAATCGGTAATCAAGATTTAGATATGTATCGCAGGTCAAAATATTTCCATTCAAAGCTTAGGGAGAAAAAAATCCAAAAATAACAACAATTCGTTTGAATTGTCAGACGACTTTCGTGCTGCACGAAAAACGATAATAGCGGCTGTTTGTACAGATTATTAGTTTAAAAACTTTCTCTAAAATATGAAAAATTGAAACAATCTTAAAACAATAACGTAGTTCAGTATTATAAAAATTGTGCAGTTATAAATAAAAAGACAGACATTCTTTGCTCGTGGGTAGGCCACTGTTGTAGGTGAGAAGTTGGAAAGGTAGTAAAAAAGAAATTTAATGTATATCTGTAAGCAACGATTAACCATTGTCAACGAAAAAACGATTCTGAGCGGAGTTCGATTAATAGTGTTGTTTTGTCAACAATACATACGAGTTTGTTATATTATGGTAAAATAATTACATAACGCATTATATATTTTTTTTAATAATTTTTATTTAATATTGCAATTATTATCCCTTTTTTTCGTACGTTTTTCCCGGTTTTTTCCATTCATTGGGGAAACTCCTGGAGAAATTAAAAAGAACCTCCTTAAAATACTACCCCAGGAAAATTTTCATTCAGAAAAAGTGCTTTGCGTGATACTTTGAAGCAAAATATCTGTAGAAAAGTTTGCCCACAAATTGAAAGGTATTTTTCGATTAAAATAATCTGAGCGAACGATGGCTTCGATATCTCTAGGTACATCAAAAATGCAATGGTTTTTCCCTGTTTAAGTAAAAGAGACTACGACAACCATACTGTATTAATGAAAATATAGAGTTATTCAGCGTAAAATAAATAAATTATCCACATAATACCAGAACTTCAAAAACTATTATTTCGATTACTCGATTATCGATACTCAAACGATTTTCATCAAAATTTGATACACAATTTCTTTATAAAAAAAAATGACGTTCATTAAAAGTCGTACATTGAAGTAAAAAAAAAAAAATTGAGCTTAATTTAGTATTTTTTTTTCTTCGGTGTATGACTTAATGAACGTACTGTTAAATTTTCAAGCATTTCTGTTAAGTCTAACAATTTTACCACAGAGTAGGTACCCACTAAATAAAAATTACGTACAAAACTTGCAAAATTAAAATATATGAACATTACTCAAAAATGACTAAAATGTTTGGAAAATGTTACAATGTCTAGAAAAAGCAAATATAAGTCTTTCGTCTAGGTTTCAAGTCTCTACGAATATTTTTAGCAAAATTAGAACAAATAACAGAATGAAAAATAATAATAAAAGTATTACTTTCGTAAATTTCCCATATGACTCATGTTTTGAACATACCACTACCATCCAAATGGAAAACAATGTGTATAATACAAAACGAAATATTATGAATTACCAAGATTATAAAATACGAAAATAAAAAAAGGTACTACCTATATATTATCTATAAATATTACATAAAATAATTAAAAATAAAAAAAGTAAAATATTTTATTTTCTTCTAGATAAAAAAAATAATGTATATGGTATCCGGTTATATAGATTATCTTTTAGACGATTTCATGTATAGAGGATTCCAACACTGCAAGTTATAATTTGTAAAAAAAATTGTTTACCATTGTAACGCTATACGAATGCTAAATTTATAAAAGGCATATGTTAAAATTTTAAAATGTTTCTACAAATACTAAAAACTCTTTAAGCCCCTAAAGTTTTATGATAGTTTGTTAAATGATTGTAAAACCCTACAGATGATATGATCTACCACTACAACATGACGTATAAACAAAATATTTATTTTACAATAGTTTTCTTGTCTTTTATTGAAAGTTCTTCCAATGTGATCAAGTGTTTCTTCTACGTTTAACGATTTATATACAGACTGTCCCACAAAGATCTACTCACCGTTATAACTCCGGATATAATAAAAATAATTAAACTCTGTTTTTATATAACCCACAGGGATAAGATCAACAAACATGAATATTTGAATTAATTTGTGCGTTTTGGTAAAAATTATTTACTTTTTATTTAACTATTTTTGGGAAATTTGAAGAGAACTCTATTTTTATAGAAATTATTCTTCTGAAAATGCTGACGTGTGAACTTTTTATTTTCATTCAGTTTGTGATTTTTCATATAATTTTTTAAAGTTCCAGAAAAAAAAATATAGAGTCAATTATCCATAATAGTAATAAATTTGCGAATACAATTACAGCTTGATACATATGTATAGTTTGACTTTGTTCTGAACATTAAAAAATCACGAATTTAATGAAAATAAAAAGTTGAAAAGTCAACATTTCAGATGAAAAACTCTATAAAATCATCAAATTGTTCAAAAATATTGCAATAAAAAGTTATTTTTTAAGTTTTTTACGATAAGAAATGTAATTAAATATAAATATTTTTAGTCCTCCGTATCTCTGTAAGTAATATAAAAAAAGAAAATAAATAAATAGAATTTGATTATCTTTACAATCACCGGAGGCATTAAAATGAGTATATCTTCGTGAGACACTGTGTATACTCCGCGATTTCGTCTAATTTTTCCAAAAACATTTTATGCCCGTGAATTATAATAATAATAGTATAATATGATAATTCCAACGCGTTATAGCGCATGAAACGCGATCGAAATATCCACGGTTGTTAATCCGTATAAAGACATAATAATAAATTATCGAATTACTCACTTAGAAAAAAAAATAATTATAATAAATAAAAACCAACAAGCACGGTAATGTATACCATAATTTCTTAAATTTTAAAACCGTTAAATCGGATTTTCGCGAAAACAACTTAGGTTTATAGGTATTATGTTGTTATACAGATGGCCAGATTATACGGGTATGGAGGTTGCGTCGAACCACGAGAAGAGCCCGAGTCGAAATGATACATCGCGAAAACGTTCCGCCGTCGTCTGGACGAATCGCGGAATATCGGCAAACGAAAATAGAAGAAGAAAAAAAAATATATTGGAAAAAACCACACTCCCCGGACGACCGCCGTTACGCGCATTATTATGTATTGCATACTGCGTTCGAATACGTGTAACGAGAATAATGCGGATGATTACGTGATAACGCGATTTCGATTCATTGATAAGACGGATCGTGGCGGCGGCGGGGAAAAAGGTCAAACAATAGCTGCGAACGACCGTGCGTTACACACGCCGTGCGCGCCTATGCCGACAACGAAGAAAAAAAAAAAAAATCAAAACAAAACTCCCCGAAGCGTTTTTCGTATGCACACACGCACACACACACACACACACACGCACACACACACACACGCACACACACCGCTTCTGGTGCCGCCGCAGAGGGGATTTTACGCGCGTGCTTGGCGTGTATAAATACGCCGGAGTTTCGCGGTACTGATAAAAACCGTGGATACTCTGGGATCGTGTTAAGACGGCGAAAGTACTGCTGTATACCGCAAGTAAACTTCAACGACCGTCGTATTATCCGTCGCAGCTCTCGATCGCAGCTCGACATTTTCGCACATCAGTCGCAGACGCACGAACGACAATACAAGTCATCATGATGAAACTGGTACGTACCTGTTCCTGTTGTTACGCCGTTCGACGGTGTTTTGTTTTATAACACGCCTTTTCGATCAAGTTAATACGACAGTAATATATTAAAGTACCTATAAAGCCAACTGTCGGTCTATCGGCCGTAATGACTTCGGTTTTCGTTTGGACGCATAACACCTAATAGTTGTATACTTTGCGTAGACCCGTAGTATTCGTTTGCATATCCGAATTCATATTATTTTAATCGACCACTCGATAATTCATCAAAATGCACCGGACTCTTTCACTCGGCTTTCGGTAATCCGAACCGTTCATAAAATTGTGTCGTCTGTTATTGCCGTATCGTCAAGTCGAGTTTCCTTCTCATCCACTCGATAGTTCACAGTTTTTCCCGGGTTCTTTCGACTTTGAATTGTCTATAAAATCGACTTTGATGTATTATTATCTAGTATGACGTAATTTAAAATCGCACATTTTTTTCAATACATTACTTTTTTTGTTCGTTTTATTATTTATTAAAAAGCGTAATTACAATTTGTTCATAGTATGTGTACAACAAGTCATTTTTTTGATAGTATAAGTAATGGTACTTAACAGTATGGAAAGGTACTCAATAGTACCGCCCGACAATATATTAGTTACTTTGAAAATAATTCAACACTTAAAAATAATGTTTTTTTTTTTTCTTGATTTTGATAACTAAGTAACATTAACATATCAATTGGTGACTTCAGGTGGTAACCACTGTATTACTTCTTTTGAGTTAAATTAAAAATATTGTTCTTAAATATATATATATATATATATAAATATGCATGCATAAATAAATCATACATTTCACGAATTTGGTTTTTTTACGGTGACAACTTTATTCTCTCCATAATGCAGCAACTAGACAAAATTCGATAACAGAAACCATCCGTAAATTCGATAATCGAGGCGAGATTTCTGGTAGGAAAATTATTAAACCGTTACATTCGTCGTTTCGCTCAGAAACTAAAACGTACCTTTCCCGTATAATATCGGTCCTAGTACAAATTACCGTTCTTATTATATTATATTATATTGAATTATAATAGTAACGAGACAGGATAAATGTATGATATTTATTTAATCTCTTAGACAATCGCTGTAGTAAGCTGTATGTTGGTCAGCCTGGCCAGCTGTCAACAACCCACCACACCAATTCCGATTGTCCGGTATGAAAACGATGGCGTCAACTTCGATGGATCGTACAAATGGGCGTAAGTACATAATAGTAATATTTTTGAAATACAAAATGTGTATACCCTTAAGGAAATGTGAGTTGCTCCTTCCCTTTTCTCGTCGCGATCGCATTATAAAACCATGAGTATCGGTTACAAAATCCCCGTGTCTTAGATTTCAAAATCAAACTCAATAACCCCACTCGCACGCACGACTACAGTTTTCGATAAAAAGTATGTTTCGTCATCCGCAATCGTATAACAAACGCGTAAAACCGACGCAACTTTATATAGACAGGTACGGTTGTGTACGTTTCGTCCGAAAAAAATTCCATTTTCTTCTGATTCATTTTTATATTCAAGATTTTCACGGGCTCGCCTTAAAATAAAATATAAACGCCAAAATCCGGTGGCAAACAAACGCGCCACGATCCGAGTTTGAATTATTATCACCGCACTGAAGTCGTGACGTCAACCGTTACGTGCAGTCATCACGTGTCACTATAAGACAATGCGTTTTGTTTTCTCTATGGCGCTCCGACAATTATTATTATAGGTACCAACGCGCATAACGTAATAATAATAATTATTATTATTATTGTTATTCACGATAACAATAAAATTGGATTTTTAAAAATATCACGAGCAGAAGTACCTACGAGCGAAACCGGTTTTACGCCTTTATATATATATGTATACACGCAAATCTGTGCATACGCATTCGCATAGCGTTTGTACATCCTCCTTGGCCTAACCGCGTTAACGACTCTTTGGCCTCTGACCCGGCGGCGGCAACGGCATACCGAGATGACCGCGGTAACCCGGCGACGAGCGATGACACAACTCCCGACGAGACGACACTCATTAACAACAATATTACCGTGTCGTCGGTACGTACGCGAACACCCAATGGGTTACCCACTCGTATTTACCGCGGCATAATGAAAGTCATCGCGGTTAACGAACGAACGGCGCGATTATTATTTTTCCACTGCCCAACCCGCCCCGTCATCAGATAGCCGAATAATATTATTACCACGCATACGCGCGCGGCGGCAATGTATTTCACTACCGTCACTTATAAAAAAAAAAAAAAAAAAGACGATGTAAAAACCGTCGGAAAACAAAAAAAGACGACGACGACGGTGTAACGACGTCCGTAACGGGCACACGGCGAACATCACGACCGCCGCACCGCGATGTCAACGGTCAGCAACAACTGGGTCATCGCGTTACCGGCGGCGCCTTTTACCGTATACGCCAACGGATCGGTTCGGTATTAGAGGTTGGGTTCGTCGTATCATTTGTGTCGCGTCGCTAACTTCGAAACCTTTATTTTTTTTTTATTTCTTTTCTCGTACAACCGTCTCCTCCGCACGCGGTTTCGCGTTCGCGATCTAGTCGGCCTCAATCTCTTTCGAGGCCTACCCAAACCGACATCTGTGGCCGGTTCACAGCGATCAGAAAAAAAAAAACACGAATTTTTCGATGCTTGAAAAACCTCCGATTGTTAAGTGGTTATTCGTTTTTCGTTCACGTTTCGGGTTTGTACATTCGCCGTTTCAAATATTAAATAAACCGTAGTTAATTTCGATATATTTCCATTCGTCCATTGGCCAATCGGTCGACGACAGAAAAATCCTATGAATCGATACAATTCGGACAATTCGGACAATTCGCAAGTCTCGACAATATTTACCGATCAAATTCATAGACACTCGGAAAAGGATGCCCATTTTATTGTTGTTTGCATCCCCGTTTATGGTTAGGTATTGGTTAGAACTGATGATGCATTTTCGTTTGCGCTTCAAAATCAACTAGAAAATTTAATCGCTTAATAATTATTACGCTAGTCTACAATTTAAATGCACAAAACTGCGATATGTTCATAATAATAATAATAATAAGAGCAGAGTAATTGGTTTTTATTCAAAGTTCGCCATTATATTAATGATAATATGTGTTCAATTTTATTATTATTATTTTTTTTTTTTTTCGAGAACAGTTTCTCTAAATCGACTTAAAAATCCATTATCGAAATCGCCCAAGTTTTCCGAAACTCAACAAACAGTTATTTTATTGAACATCAACGGCCGGCGCATCGGATAGGCAATTTAAGCCCACTAATGTATCCAAATATCGTTTTACGCGATTTGTTCGAAATTTGTTCATCACGTAAACGTAAGGTTCCTAAATTTCTGGAAAAAACTTATATTCCACCTAAACGTTTCGTGGAACATTACATTTTGTTAAACAATACAAAGAAACATGAATAATTTGTTTTTAAATTTAAAACTGTAATGTGAACGATCTTACTTGTAACTTTAAACAAATTATTGTTAACAGTAAATTGAAATCATATACGCATCTAACAAAAGGTCTTGACAGTTCCAATCAATATTAACTATAGATGTAATGATGATTAACTATACACGGCGTAAGGCTACATTGAATACAAAATTTAAAGTTTAAAATGATATCAATATTACAATATACGTCAGTATTATAACTTACTAAAAAAAAAAAAAAATTAGATAAATATTTAACTAAAAAACTTTTTTTCCTAAATTTTTAAGTGGTGTGCAATGTTTCATACTCATAACCCTATGTAAAAACAATTTTCGGTACAACACTGTACAGAAAATATTAAAATTTGAATGTTTTTCAAAACTGAAACGATGCAGATTAAACGGTTTTATTCGATTGTTCGTCGTTCCCTTAATTGGATTTTATAGGCAAATGTTATTATTTGAAATTTTGTATTATTATTATTTGGATTTGCGATTCGGTTTTTACATGGTTAATATAAATTTATTTGATGAAATAAAACCAATTGAAAACCTGTGGTTTTGTTAATTAATGTCTTTTATTAAATCTACACGAAATACTTGATACCTTTCAATCGGAAAAATAAAAATACCCACAATTAATATAGCAAACTTTGCTTGCGCCGACATACTTTACGTTTGCTCTGTTCGTTCGGTAAAGTGGTTTTAAAAAAAATTAAGGACAACGTCAAATGTTACTCGGGGTTTTTACTTGTGCATTTAACACTACACATTTCAATAAAAAATGGAACGATTACTTAAATTATGATCATTTTCTTCTTATTTTTTTTTCCTCCGTAGAAATTAATTTTACAGTAGAAACGGTCGCTTTTCAATTTCAAGCATACAAACATTTCAAACGTTTCCGGCCCGCAAATGTACTCCAAGACAATAATATTGTAATTCAATAATAAAATGAGCCGGGAAATGACGGGGCGTATGAATAGCAGAATGGAGGGCGGGCAATGGGCCAGCTAAAATGTTTGACTAGATACCGCGGTAGTACGAATTTTTCGAAAATTATCCAAATGCAGATTTACCGGTTGAAAAAAGGTCAACATTCTAGAAAATACGAAAATTCGGAATAACTGGAAAATCGAATTAAACTTTTTGAAAATTTCACATTTTGCCATTCGACGGAAATTTTCTGAACTGAGAATCGGTTTTAGTTACTTGAAAAACCCAATTTTCGGTTCTCTCGTTGAGAAACGGTAACCGATTTTATGTCCGGGATTTAAGTAATGAAATTATCACACGTGGAATTCATTTTACTATAACATTTTTGTCGCACAAAAACCTAAGGAAGTTTATTCGATTCGCGATAGTTTTGAACACGATTTTATTCGACTTTCTCGAACGAATAATAATATAATATGTATTATCAATAACGTTGAATCATTTTCTCTGTTACGTGAACATAAATCGCAAACATAACGAAAACAATAATTACGTTTCAATTCTCGAATAATTTTAACGGATTTCGGGTAAATGTCATCGCGTGTTAATTATTTTGTTTCTTACGCAACAAATCAATCGGTACACGCGTATTATGTAAAATGCGAATTCTGATATACTGTTACATGCCTACGTTTCCGTAAATAAAAATCGTCAACAATACGTTCGGCCATTTTCTATACGTAATGCGTGCGATTCAGTTCCATATTTTCATACCAACACAGTTTTTTTTAAATTTAATTACAATGCACGTGACCATCCGTTCTGCGCAATTTTTCCTGCCACGTAGTATCGAACGGAAAAAAATCAAAAAGTATAAAATCCCGACTCTTCCCGTACAACTGTCACAGTTAACCGTGTTATCGTTCGAAAATCCGTTTTCTTTTTACGGGCACTTCTTCGCCCGCGACAAATAAATTAACTGATAACGGTTGTTTTTTTGTTGTTTTTTTTATCCGTTTCGTCAAAGTAACCCATAATCGACAAAAACAATTCGATTTTCTTACCAATAACCGACTCCGCTTTAGACTCTAATTACGAGGAGGGGAAGGGGAAAACAAATTGGTCTATGTGTGTCATTCCAGGTTTAGAACTGCCACCCGAAAAAACTTTAGAATATTAAATAAGATTTTTTTTTTTTTTTATGGAAGGGTACTTTTGCGTTTCACAAAATATCTCAACGTTTCGCATTTTTTTTTTCTGCGAGATTATTTCGTTTTTTAAAATGACAAAAATAACAACGCACACGTTGACCGCTGACCAACCGTGTTGGTTTCAGTGGAGAAGCCCCGAAATTATGGGTATTCGCTATCCCCGAGCCCGTAACAAAACGATATTTCGACTTTCACTCTTCGGGGGAAAAAAAAAATAATAATAATAAGCAACGCACAATACTCGCATCTGACGGCGGCGGTCTAACGATATAACCAAACGTTCAATGAGTATTTATTTTTTCTCAAATCCCCCCCCCTACCGACGAAAACTTGTAACAACCGGCCGATGTAAAAACACTTACTGTGTGCGTCGTCAAGATCGAAAATATCGAATATGATTAAAAGGTAATTAAAAGTCGACAACAACGAGTCGAGAGGAAAGGAGTCAGGGGAGGGTGAAGGGGCGACAAGACGGACGGCCGGTCGCGGACGGATTGTGTGAGCCACGCGTGATTATTGTAAACGGAAAAAAAAAATAATAATAATAATAACAGTAATCACTGGAAGTACCGAGGTGACGACACCGCCGCCGAAACTCGTCCGGACTAATAATAATAGTAACGAATATTATCGCAATAATAACAATATTTTATTTAGGTCTCCCGTCGTCGTCGGCGTACGGTTACCGCGGTCCGTCACGCCGCCCGTCTATGCGCGCGCACGGTAATCAGCGATAATAAGCCGAAGGAGGACGGGACGACGAAGGTTCGGTTTTTATGCCGGATCACGGGCTATAACAATCTTACTTAACCGCTCTCCGCCCTCCGACCAACCCCCCCTCCCCCCCGGGCGTCGCGCGTTACACAATGTTTTTATTATTATCACGTGTTATATACGACGACGGCGATAATAATGGTGCGAAAGAAAAAAAAAAAATAATAAATAATAACCGTATAATAAATACATTACGACTTGTAACATGTGCGAGCGAGCGCGTGTGTGTGAACCGTGGTCCGGCAACAATGTAACATGACAACAATATTGTTACGAGGACGAGAAAGTCTCCGGGGCCGTTTGACCCGCGCCGTTTGACCCGCGCGCGAACGCCGCCGCCGCCGCAGTTCACCGCTCGTCAACGGCATAATTTCCGCGAACACCGCGCACGATCGCCGGACACCGCTCCCCCGCGCTGACGGGGAATAAGGGGGATCGCAGTGATAGCTTATCACGAATATTCGTGGATCCGCGGTCACGCGAATCATACGACCGACACGATATACACCGTATGTGTGTGTGTGTGTGTGTGTGTGTACGAGCCGACCGTCCGCCGGCCGGTTACGGACGACGACAACCCACGAACCTACACGGTGTACCTCGGGAATTGTTGGCTTTTTTTTTTTTTTTTGTTACTTACAGTGTTCTCAAACGCCGCCCTTATTATTTTCGAGCTCGAAACGCCGTTCGATTTGAATCACGGAACATCATTTGCGTTACGCTTTTGTTAACGTTCCGCGACCCCATATCCGAACTTTATAGCGAAATATCTCGTCAACGGGTTGACGGAAATCGAACATTTCAACGCCGGAATCCACTTGAACCGATACTACATCCGCTCGTGGAATTTGTATTATAGGTTGCCGTCCGAAAATCTAAAGCAGACGGTCGTTTCACTCCCGGAAATAAGAGCGATGAAAACATAACGGTAACGGAACATTCGAGAACCGCTTGTTTCTTAGATTTTCGAAAAAAAATTCGAAAAGTGATGATTATTCGATAACGGTCGTCCGTTGAAATATTACCGACCGCGCGCGCAAAAAAAAACTAGACGAATACATGTCGGGAAAAAGAAAACGGCCACCGTCGGTGTTCGCGTACATGTGCCCGTCCGTCGAAAAACGACGCCTCGGGCCCTGATCCGGGCTCCCTGAATGTCGCGGGCCCGATCGGTACGCCACTGGCCGCACAGCCGTCGAACGGGATTCGCGTTCGCGCACTGCGCGGCGGCGTTGGCGGACGATAATATACGGGAGCCGTACGCGAACGCGGTCGGACGGAGACCGTTTCGTAACCAATAATAATTCTCTCTGTCCGAAGAAAATATTATTATTATCCCGCGACAGCGCCGCCGCCGGCAATGTCCGTCGTGTGCGTGGCCGTCAACCGCAACACTGTCGCCGTGTACGGGTAACCGCCCGTCGACCGGTCCTCGGTTTTTCGGAGACGCGTGTACGTAAAAATAGAATTGAACGAAATAAACGTGTTCCGTAATCGTTTAATCCCGACGAATAATCCGTCTTGGTTTTTACCGCGACCGGTACAGAAGCCCCCGGAACGGGTCGCAGTCTCTATTATGGGTACGCACGCGATCAGATAAACAACTCTAAAATGTACCGGACGGTTAATACCGCGCGTCGTAATTTAACGAATTATACCGTAGTGAAATACAATAAATTAAGGACCGCAGATTTCTATGTACTCGTGTGGTATTATAAACGTATGAAATCCGCCGCCGGTTCGGAACGTCGATGTTTATCCCGGACGCCGTGACACGTGCAATAATTAAAAATTACGACGATATTCGAATAGTATTACGTGTCATCAACGTGTAATATTCGGCTACGGCCCGCCGCACAAAATAAAATCGTACGATTTCGAGAGCACGCCGGCCGTTAACGTTTACCTATTGTATTGATTTCGAATTGAATAGTACGTTCATTTTTGTCGTCACCACAACAATAATGATACGCTCTCGAGAATATTTAACAAATAGCTGCCCCCCGTCCCTAAGTTGCCCCTCGACTACCCGTTTCCACCCCCGATCCTGATTTATATTTTAGAAAGCTTACTTACATTTCGCGCCCTATACAACCGCATCTAAATAATAACTACTGGGTTTTCCATCTAGTAATTTCGCCTGTAAATCAACGAGTATAACGAGTTTTACACTTCCAAATAATAACCCGACTTCGGGGCGCACGAGGACAGTGACATTTGCACATGGCGGAAAGTTAGGGGGGGTTATAAATCTCGTTCACTCTCCCTCTATTGGCTCAAAAATTCGAAACCTACTAGTATATTTATTTAGTAACAGTTTATAATATTTCAACTATATTCATTATTATATTTCGGCCAAGTTACGAGGAAAAAAGCTCGATTTGTTAAATAAAAATCATTTTTTTTTAGATATAAATTATTCTCATTGTCGGTTGAGGTATAAAAAAAAAAAATGAAAATGATGTGGTTTCTTCGTGAATCGTGATATTTATTATTTGCTATACATATTTCCTCTCATTGAAAATTCTTAGTCACGCCACTGCACACGCAAGGGACTTCGTCCGTTCATCCGCTTCTGTTTTTTTGATTTCTACACGCTATAAATTCGACTGTGGATCGCCCACGGACAAACAAACGCGTCTTTTTATTCTGTTTCAGAAGATTGCATAGGTAAACGACAGTTGTAAGTACCTACACACCTATGTTATGACTGCCGTACGTTTGCCGGGAAGTGTTATGCATTAAACTCGAGGCGTGTCACTGTGTATATTATTTCACGCGCGGGAGAGATTGCACTAATCATTGTGATGTTGCATACGAATGGGTTTAATTCCGCTGACCTCAAAAAAATAAAAAATAAATATATTAATAAAATAGGCACAAATCGGGCACTCGTTCTTTTCGGCGTACTATTATAATGTATGAGTGGTATCTCTTTTAGACGCACAGACGCTCTGGTCGTCGCAGTCGGTTCGGCCACCCACTTTGATTGAGGCCATTGTTACACCGCGTACCCAACAACAATAATGATGTAACGAAATACCGGTAAACGGTATAATACAGAATAATATAATAATACTGCTTCCAGCACGTAACACGTAATAACATACCTCCGGAAATTATAATACTCTCGCTTATATTTAATATGAATGTATTAAAAGCATTCCTGTTGAAGTTGTTGCGTCAATGCGCGTATGCGTGTGCGTGTATGTGTGTTGAACCGTATAGTCCGACTGAAGGTTGTGGTGCTAGGTTTCTGAATGGACGGTATTATAATATTATCGTAAATAACCGTATCTACCCGTACAAAACAGTAATAAAAATACACCAATAAAACACTATTACGACGATTGATGTACGAAATATAATAATTAATAATATTCCCCCCCCCTAACCCCCGTATAAAGTCAACGGTATTGTTATTTGTTTCCGAAAACGTACTCGAAACGAACGGATTAGCGATTTTAATACTTCTAAACTTCAAAATTCTAACATAACAGTATACGGAAGGTAACGGGGGAGGAATAAGGATAGCGATCCATTTCTTTTCAATTTCGAGGCAATGATGACGGTACAATTCGAAAGTGCTTTGAAACTATAATATTCTAACGTTGTCGAATGTAAAGTCCCATTCGGCGCGAAAAAGTCTCGGTTGGATAATATTGGATGTACTGGTTAAATAATAACGTATGGTCCGTACGTCTGTGAATAATTCGTTCTCCACTGCAGAGGGTTTTCCAAAACGGGACATGCTGTTACGCCTCAGAAAAGATAATTTTTTTTTCTCCAGTTTGTTGGATATTAGAAAAATCAAAACAAATTATTGATTCAAATATTTAAAATATTAAAACGTTACTGTCCACTCGAGTTTCTCACTGTGAGGCCCACTAACAGTTTGGTACCTAAAATAAACAAAATTAAAAAATATTTACAAATTAAAACATTAAATTATCTTAAGGCGCACATTGACAATATCATCTGCATAGCGTTTAAGGTTCTAGGTTTTATTAAAAGAATAATAAGTGAGTTCAAACTCTCCTACTCTCTTGAATCACTTTTCTGTTCTTTTGTCAGGCTTATTGTTAAATATGGCCAACTGCGGACGCTTGCAAACAACTCGAGCGTGTCCAGCGCTGATTTCTTGATTTTATAAAATATACTTTTAATAATAATTGTATATTTATGTACTTCACGACTACACCCCCGTCCACCGTTTTCTAAATCTCACGAACAGCCGATCGTCGTCACCGTCATAATAAATCTTTTCTCCGAAAACTTCTCTCGGGCTCAATTGACTGTCCTTCCCACTTTGAACTTTTAAATTTTAAGGTACCAACTCGAACCACCTAGAATTATACATTTTTTACCACATTACCCAACCAATTATTTGAGAAACGAGCCTCTCACCAAGATGATGCGTATAGCCAATAATGACCCGTCATTACTTCATTGGGTTATTTCTGTTTTAAATTTTTGTATATATCCTACCTTATCATTATTTCTTACCCCAACTACTTATTAACCTTTAGTTGTGACTTAGTCTTAAGCTAATACTGAACGTTTTTGTTGTTGTGTATCATGATGGATTTTGTTATGAAATTTTTGTAAATAAGGCTCCAGTCCCATTATCTTAATGAATAAATAAAACAGTAAATTATATCCATCGTAAGATAATCTGACTTAGCGTCTCACTTCAATCAGTTTAACTTAAAAGTCATTCGTTTGGCTATGATTATAGTCTTATCGTAATGCCTGCGTAAGAACCGTATAGAACATTTATGAATTTAACAACGTTAGTAAATCGTACATAATATTAATGCATTGTATATTAAAAATGCGTTCGACAGATACGAAACTGGCAACGGTATCCAGGCGCAAGAAACCGGATACGTGCAGCCGGCCCAAGATCCCAGCCAATCGGCTCTGAACGTGGAGGGCGGTTACTCGTACACCGCTCCGGACGGCACGCCGATCAGTCTGACGTACGTCGCCGGTCCGCAGGGATTCGTGCCCGTCGGCAGCCATTTGCCGACCCCGCCGCCATTACCGCCAGCGATCGCCAAGCTCCTCCAGTTCCTCGCCACCCAACCGACCACACCGGAACCGATCTACCCCAAAAAGAAGTGAAAACCCCGTCCGACCATGAATCCGCATAACCATATCGTTCCCTATATGTCCATCACCCACGCACTTGATCGTCCGTCCGAAAGGCAATTAATTTAATGAGTACGATATATTTCGTTCACAACGCTCCCGATCAAATTAATTAAGATTTCATTATTATTATTTAATTTTTTTTTTTTTTCATATACATTTTTTTGTTAACCTGTACTGCTTTCATTATTATAATATTATGTAGTATTTTTTTATTTTCCATTTTTATTTAAATTCTTTATATATATATATATATGTATGTATGTATTTTATTGGAAACTGTGTTTTGTTGTTTGTTATGTACCCTTCTGTTATCTATTACTCTATACATTAATCATGACGAAAATGTCTTGTGTACGTAATAATAATTTATACGAACGAACGGCCGATTTTCTACCGCAAGCCGATAATAATATCGCGCTATATTTGTCGGTTTTACGTATTTTTCTGCAATCTTATTTGTATTGATTAATCATATTTATATATTATACTATACTGTTCTATAATATTTTTTTGGTTTGTTTTTTTTTTTCTTGTTTTTTAATACATTTTTACTATCAGAATACGTTATGATTATTACGCTGTACACTCTGGTCTTCATGGTCCATCACATCCATTTCAAGGGCCCCGGCCCTCGGATGGTTGTCCCGTCGTGCCAATAGAAAACCAAAAATGCATAGAAGAAAGGAAAAAAATGGTTCCCCTCTGGCCTATCCAATGCGGTTTTACACTAACAAATGTAGTTCTGCACTAAGTTCCTACATGAAACCGCAAAACTAGTGAATGTAGGTGACCGAAAACCCAAAACGCATTAATATAATAAAACATATCTTTTTTTAATAAAATTAGCATTGGGAAAACACAGTGGAACACCCTGTATAGAATAATTTAGTTTATATCTACATACAACGATAAACCATTGTTAACTAAAAATTATTCTGAGCAGAGTTTTATCAGTCGTATTTACGCTTTGATTCCAAGGTAATCTAGAAGTCAACAAAATTTACACCAAAATTGCACGTTTATCAAATTTGTTAAGAAAACTACAAAGATAATCAAAGGCTGACCGCCTGGATTTATGAAACATGTGAATGCATAAAACAATTGTATGATAAATTCCCCGTACGATAAATTGGAAATTGTGTAGCCATATACTCAGAGTACAAATTGTACTGTTAATTAATCCAAGAAATACTAGTTTATAGTCCGAAAATGGGCAATTCAATGTTACGTGAGAGCAGGGTGCCAATTTTTAAAACTTTAAAATCTAGCAGACCAGAGAATATATAAACCAAAAAAAAAGTTAAATAAAATTTAAAATTTATAATTGATATTTATTTTCAGATTCCAAGTGGAGCCAAGAAGAAGCTTAAGGTTTTACAAAGATGTTTTTTTTTCTGTGGGTAACTTTTCTACTAGAATACTTGCTCTGATTTTTACGTGTAGCAACTTTTCTGAAAGGAAATCTGTGTGGGAAGGTACCTTAAATAAATCGTTTTACGATTTTCTCAAAAATTTTCACATCAAATGCAAAAAACCGAAAAAAAAAAACAAAAAAATATACGAAATATATTTGTATAATATTACGATTTTTTTTTTCTGTGGACAATTTTTCTACTAGCAATTTTGCTCAAACTTTTAATGATAGCAATTTTCATTTATTTAAGATACAATTTGTAAAAGTAAAAATTAAGCTATTAAAATACCTTCAGGTTATATTAATATTATTTTCGGCTTTTTGTGGTAGGTAAATAAATTCATTATTACCTCCTTAAAGAATATCTAAAAAACTATAATATTTTTTTAAAAAAAGCTGTCCTAGAATGATAAGGACGGGTGCAGCCACTGTTATAGGTGAGAAGTTGGAAAGGTAATAAAGGGAAAATTAAATGTATATCTGTACGCAACGATTAATCATTGCTAACGAAAAAATGATTCTGAGTGGAGTTCGTTTAATAGTGTTCGTTAAATATATATATATATGTCATTGTGGTAAAATAATTACAAACAAATTGAACATTTTTTTTTAATAATATTTGTTTAATATTATACTTACTTTTCCGGTTTTCCTTAGTTTTCCTGGTTTTTCCCATTTGTTGGGAAAAATCCTAAGAAAACCAAAAAAAGGAACCTGCTTAAAGTACCTCCCCAATCAAATTTCCTTTCAGAAAAAGTGCTATTATTGTAAATCGGATCAAAATTTCTGGTAAAAAAGTTGTTCACAGATAAAAAATAACAATAATAAAAATAAACATCATTGTTAAACCAATACATTTCTCGCTCGACTCAGAATCTAAAATGGAAATCTAAAAATGCTTATTATAATGATTCCATGATAAAATCCACTTACATAAAATTCGTCTTCTAAATGACACGAAGAATTCCTCGCATTTTAAATTCTAAGGGTACCGAAGAAGCTGTACGTATATAATTTGCATATCTATGATGCGTGTTTTTCTCTTGGAAATCTTTTTTTTTTTGTTTATCAAGATTCTGTTTTCGTCATATTATGCCTTGAAAATGCAGATTTTAAACCGGTACGTTATTTGAAAAATCATTCAAGATTTTTCAAGATTTCCAACAGCTTTTAAAAAAAAAAAAGATAAAAAACCGCGATACATCGGTATGTATTAAATTAATATCTGGATAATTTTTCGACTTCTGGAAAAAAAACACTATTACTAACACAAGATATTGGATCATTTTTCAAGAAGGTTACTGTATCCAAATGGACACACAATATATTAAATGGCTTACGATTGAACTATTCGATTGTGTAACGAAATATTAAAATAGAAATGTTCTCACCTGTGGGGAGAAGGGGTAAGTGGAAATTTGCTAAAAAAAATACCCTAGCACTATACCCACGGTGCGAAGTATGCACCTACGGCCATATATAATATGGGTATATATCCCGATGAACTAATTACAATGTTCGTGAAGGCGGTGTACGCATCGATATAATATACAAGTGCATACGTAAGTATTTTGATTTAGAAATTATGTTTTATATCATTATATCATTATCATTGTCTTATGATATTATTATAGTCGAGTGGGTTCGTTTTTAAAACGAGAAACCGCTTGTGCATAAATTTAAATTTAAAAACCCGGATTATCGATGCGTTAAGCGATGCTCTCACGTAAAATATTATTTGAGACGCCGGCGCGGTGTAAGTGTATCGTGCGATATTATAACACAGGCCCCATCCTTGACGTTTATCGAAATGTTTGTCCTCGGTGTCGTTTCGACGTACGCATGGGTTTAAAATCGTATCTAATTTATTTCGGATTAAATAATACGAACTAGGTATTATTAGTAGGTAATCGTCTGCGTTTCAAACAATAATTATAATATTGTGTTAATAATAATATTTTGTCCATGGAAAACTGCATTCTGAAAAGTCAAGACCGAACGGCGAACTTATTTTGTAACCGGCGCGTACATATTTCACATAACACTCGGGCGGAATATGATATTTATAATTTATACATCCCCCTCCCCCACATTAAATTTTTATTCGTTATTATAATAGGCGTGGAAATCACGCGAAGATTTGTACGAGTAAATTAACGTTAATGCGCATTCTGCAGTCGCATTAGTGTGTTACAGAATCGCCGCGGGAAGTTATACATCCATCGTTTTTTTTTGATATTTTCGCAAAACCGCGGATTATATTTTACGCGGTGCCATCATTTCAATGAATTATTATGCCGGGTACTTATACTATCTTGTATTTCAATAAGCACCTCAAGGCGAGGAATTTATAATAGTAATAATTTACCTATCTATAATAATATAACTCGCCCACCTTTTTCACCGATTTAGCACAAAGTCTTCAAACGCAACATAGTACGTACATAATTATTCTAATATTAGTCGTTACTACGTTTACCGCAGACTCGGTGAATGGCACGTAGTATATTATTATAATAATACATATCACAGTGATAAAAATACATAGTGCAATTTAATAGCTACTGCAATAATATGTTATAACCTTTACACGACGAAGGCATCCGTTTCGAAAATGTTCAGCTTCGGTTAAGCGTGTTTAATAGTGCAGTACGTGCCATAGTGGAAACCGTCTAAAATTGTATAGTAGACTTACGTATAATATTTACTTTAGTCGTAAACATTTTTTTTTTTTTTTTTAAGTAGTATTTAATTGATTTTAAATTGGTCTGAAAAAAAATATCGATTATTTGAAATTAAACTCAACGCATTAATCGTCCAATACAAATATGAATTCGGGTAGGGGATACAAATCTTCGGATAACGAACAGAGTTTTTAGATTTGAAGCGAAAGGTTTAGCACAACAATTTTTATTTTTTTTTTGTTCGTGTTTTTATTTGTAAAAATCTTTCTACACCTTTGCTCCAATCAAAAATAACAAGAGCCCTTATTTGTCGCGTTTCAAACTTTTTTGTTAATTTTTTGATTTTACAAGCAATTTTCATAATAATTTGAAAAAACGAGATAAACTTAGGAATAACGGGGAAGTTTACAACATTAACCGTTTCATTAATTTAAATTTTGTTGATTCGGGTAATAATAATCGTTGAAAAAAACACTGATAAAACACACACATTTAAATTCGAAGAAAATCAAAATACAAAGATGTCGAAAACCGACCTTCTAGAGTCTAGACATACAAGATTCAATTTTCTTTCAGAAAAAAAATGCTAATTTTTAAATTCAAAATAAGATTTTTAGTAGAAAATCAAAACTCATAACATCGAAATTAATGAAACATTGAATTCCATATACTTGTCAGTTTTTTTTTTTTTTTCGATTTTTCTCAATTATTACGAAAACCATTTGGAATATCAAAAAATTACCTCTTCAATTAACTAAATTCTTTTGTAAATTGATTATTTGAGTAATATTTCTGGTAGTATAGTAGTTTGTAAACAGAAAAAAAATTACACACATCCTTAGTAAATCCATTACATACAACGCTCCGCTCAGAATGTAAAACAAAACTTGGCAGCTTACAATACGATTGAAACGAAATGTATTACATTTTTTTTTTTTTAAACCACTAATTTATCGAATTTTTCCTATAGCTTTGTTTCGAAATATTCAATTAACGGATATTTTATAACATAGAAAACTTAGGTATAAATGTATAAATTATTATAAAGACAGAACAAGTTTTTAACATTAAGCTGGAAAATCCATAAACACCTAAACGTGTAGGTTTTATATATATATATATAATTAGCTAAACTTCATTACTATTCCGATGTTTCTCAAATACGTGCTAATGATCTCAACTAAGATATAGTTAGGCATACTATATGTATATAGGTACTAAATCGGCATCTTAACAATATCGTTGAATTATGTCTTAGAGATTTCGATTCACCTGGACTGCAACAGTGCAGTATAGGTATAAGTATAATAAAACTTACATACTGCTATTACTATCTTACTATCAAAAAACATCTGTGTAAACTCATAGTTTAGAATATTTATATGTAAAAAAAAAGTTTTAAGATTTAACGTTGCACTCCGCCGCGTGTAAGCGCTTAATCAATATCTATTAAAAAAAAAAC